GAACTCAGATATATCGCGCCACATACGATTGTTCTTCCTATTGAACTATAGTTATCTTGAAGAAAAATAGAATCGAACTATCGCAGAACAAAGGCACTAAAATTACAATTCAGTTCTAATTACCAACATTAGAATTTCCCCTATATATATATATTATTACGGTTAGTAGGAGTCGAACCTACAAGATTTATTATCGGAACAATTTAAGTGTTCTATGTCTACCATTTCATCACAACCGCTGTTATTTATTTTGGTCTAATAGGAATTGAACCTATATCTTACGATTATCAATCATACTCTCTACCATTGAGATATAGACTAAAAACCACATATCCTAAAAATATGTAGTCATTATATGTAGTCATTACATGTTATCATTAAATGTTATCATTATATGTGATCATTATATGTTGTCATTATATGATATCATTATATGTTATCATTATATGTAATCATTATATGTTATCATTATATGTTGTTATGTTGTCATTGTATATGAATAAATTATATTTTCTGACCAGGTTCCCCTAGCCGAACCGTATTTAAACTTACAGCTTGTCCTAGAATAAATACCTATATGATATTTTTAATATTTTGAGCTGTTGATGAGTGGTTAGTACGAAGTAGCAATTAATTTCACCGTAACGCTCTTGTTTACAATTACTAGCAATTTCTTTCTTATGAAGTCGAATTTCAGACTATAATCCATAACGGATATAAATCTAATTAATTTTTTTTAAATATATGTTGTATATATTTGTATAATATTATTGTAACACGTCGATAGCCCATATTATAAGGGTCATCATGATTAGTCTTCATCCTTTGCTTACATTGTTCTAAAAAAAGAATCATATACTATGTATGAGGTTTACGTTCATTCAATTAATTAAAATTAAACTCTACAGCCTGAACTGACGACAATAATGTAACGCCTGTATATACCTTAAGGATATATTCAAAAGATGGTAAGATTTGTGGCGGATTATCCAATTAAATGACATGTTTCACTGCTTGGGACTACAACTGTCTAATGTCTTGTATTTCACCCTTGCGTGCATAATCAGGCGGACTATTTTTCATTTTAATTTCACACTTTTTTATTCATAGTTTTCTGCTACGAATAGATGGGTATCGAATCCATGTCGCTACCGTAGCCCTCATCTCACAACGTCAATAATATTTAGTTATCTCTTTACAGTCTTGCATTCTATACATATTTCATCCCTTATATTTTATTGTTATCATTATCTTTAGCAAATTTTTATATGAATGTGAAATTTTATAAAATTTTCCTGTCAAGCGCAGTCTTATGACAACTGAATAGTAGCTTTATTAGAGTTATCATCCAATCTAATAGCTATTCTATCATCCAATTTAATAATTGAGGTTAAACATGATCTATTTCTAATTTTTATATCAATTATCTTAGCGTATTTATCAATAAGACTATTATTAACAATATCACCCCGGGTTGTTATCTAGAATTGTTAATTTTATATATCAGTTGTCAACTGTAAGTATATGTAGAACAAATAGTAGGAAAGGCAAAAGATTTAAGTATAATATACATATGTTTAATCTAAGATATAAGTAAATCATGGAAAGCCGTATGATGGGAAAGTATCACGTACGGTTTGGAGGGCAGTATCAAATAAGTACATAGAGCTCAACTAGACAGAGACAAATATAGCGCCCAAATAGACAAACAAATATGGAGCTCAACCAGGCAGAAACAAATATAGAGCCCCAATATAGAGCTCAACTAGACAAAAAATTTAAAGCTCAACTAGGCAGAAACAAATATGGAGCCCAAATATGGAGCCCAACTAGACAGAACAAATATAGCACCCAACTAGACAGAAACAAATATAACACCCAACTAGACAGAAACAAATATAACACCCAACTACACAGAAACAAATATAACACCCAACTACACAGAAACAAATATAAATACCAAATATAGCGCTCAACTAGACAGAAACAAACAAAACACCCAACCACACAGAACAAAGATAAAGCCCAACCAAGCAACCCCTCCCCCATGCCCCGGCTTGTATATCCGAAGCACTGGCCCCAGCGGGCGCGGCCCGCGTAAATCGCAGCACTAAGTAAACCACAGCGCGCACGCGAAAAAAACCTTCTCCGGGCCCAAACCCCCATACAACTCCTCCCAGCCGTTTAAGACCCCACCGAACCCGCGCAACATGAGCCTGAAATTCGCCAGATTGTTCTCGTCGCAGGCCCGGAGCCTAGGCGTGTGGACGGACGCCGCCAGCCGGCCGGGCAGCTTGAGAATCGCGGACGAGGCCGTGCGCCAGGGCGTGTTGCACGGCATCCCGGCCTCAGGCCCCAAACTGATTGCCCACCAGGGCCAGCGCGAGACATACCACTCGCCCGTGGCCATCGACGAGGTGTTTGCCGGCGCGTACGAGATTTTGGAGCAGGAGGCCGCGCAGAAGTACCGGGCGTTGGAGGCCTCGGGGGCTCAGATGTCGGCCAAAGACGTGGAGAACACACTTGCCGCCGCCGAGCAGCACAACCCGGAGGTGCTCTACAACGCCCGCTTCCAGACAGACAACGTGGACCGCGCGCACCCCGTGTACCGGCGGTTCTTGCGGCAGAAGTGGCAGCTGCACGACTTGATGGTGACCATGCAGCGGTTGGAGCAGCACCACGTGATCCCGGACACCTTGCCCACCGTGGAGCCCTGCGCGGACGTGCGCGTCAAGTTCGGCCACAACGAGGACCCGGAGTTCGCCGACTGGGTCGTGCCCGGCACCAAGTTGCCGGCGCTGGCCGTGGCCCGCCCGCCCACCGTCCAGGTCCAGGAGTTCGAGACCGCCGCGGATTCCTGCGGCTTGTACTGCGTGCTCTTGGTCAACCCGGACGTGCCCGACGTGGCCGCCAACTCGTTCCGCACCTCCTTGAACTTCGGCTTGCACAACGTGCCGCTCACGTTCACGGACAACACCATCGGCCCGGCCACGCTCCTCGCACACCCCGCGTACGTCTTCCAGCAGTACGAGCCGTTGGTGCCGGAGAGGAACGCGCCGGTGCAGAGGGCTTGCTTGTGGGTGTTCAGGCAGACCAAGGCCTTGGAGCGCGTGGACTTCTCGCGCGACGCCTTCGACATCCGCGCGTTCGTGGCCGACCACGGGCTCCAGCCTATCGGCGCCCACGTGTGGCGGCAGGAGTTCGACCGCAGCGTGGAGGCCGTGAGGAAGCAGCACGGGCTCCCCGCGGGCCGCGTGTTCGACCCGGTGCGTGGCTCCGAGCCACTTGTGTAAATAGTATCTGCATGGCAATGTGCCCGGGTGCCTGGCCGGCACGAGCAGCGGCGTCTCGCCGGCGGCGGCGTGTGTGCCATGCGTGGACCCGTGTGCCTGACGGTGCCTGACGGTGCCTCGGGAGGCCTGCGCCTGGCGCCGCCGCACGCCGGTATGTCTTTTTTTTTATTCGACGGTTGTGCGTACTTTCCTCTGTAGTCGGGCTCTGGTGGTTTACCTATACCGAGCTCAATCCTGGGCCGCCACCAGCAGCCCGCAAGTCGCTCGGCAGAATCACGCAACGCGCGGGATGATTACAGCTGGAGAGAAGTGCTATATTGCTTGAGAGATGGTGAGTCGCGGCAGGTGATAATACCTCGTGGACCAATTACTCCTTCGCTAAAGATAATTATGAGTGCTAGATATAATTATAGCTGGACAGAAGAGCTGCATTGCTCGAGAGATGGTAAATCACTGCAGGTGATAATACCTCGTGGACAGAATTACTCCATCGCTCGAGGCAATGATGAGATAATTATGAATTGCTAGAGATCATTATGAATTGCTTGAGATAAGTATGAATTGCTAGAGATAGTTATAGATGCACAGAAGTCCTGCATTGCTCGAGATAATTGGAAATCGCTGCAGGCGATTATACATCGCTGTAGGTGATTATGCATTGCTGCACAGAATTACTCCTTCGCTGAAGAGAATTATGATGCTAGAGATAATTACAGCTGGACAGAAGTACTGCGCTCGAGAGAATTTTAACCGGTTGAAGTCTACCCTGCATTGAAACTATAGGTCTGCCCAGAGCCTTGCTAAATGTCGTAGACAGTCCTAGTATGCGTATACCGGGCATATTTTGGTATACCATCTAGGGGTGGTGAAAACATGTGAACAAACATTACCATGGTAAGGACCACATCCATGGGACCTAGCTCATGGTAACGTAGGAATCGACTAAAACAGATCTATGAAGAGGAGTTGTATTTATGCATCGCTGGACAGAATTACCACACACATGAATTGCTTGAAATATCGTTAGACATTTCGCCAAACAGAATTACTTCCAGCTGGACAGAATGCTTCGCGGACATAATTAATATATTGCTCGACAGAAGTACTACATTGCTCAAGAGAATTATTCTTCGCTTAAAAACATTACAAATCGTTCGACTGAATTACTATATCGCTCGAGAAAATTATGAATCGCTTGGAATTATACGTCACTAGACAAATCGCTAGACAGAATTACTTCGAGCTGGACAGAATGCTTCGCGCCACAGAATAATATATCGCTGGACAGAACTACGACATTGCTCAAGAGAATTATTCTTCGTTCGAGATTATAATACATCGCTCGAAAGAATTGTAAATCCCTGGGCAGAATTACTGCAAGGCTCGAGATAATTGTACATCGCTAGACAGAATAAGACTCGACAGAAGTACCTGAGAAAATTATGAATCGCTCCACAGAACTACTATATTGCTCGACAGAACTACTACATTGCGCAAGAGAAATATTCTTCGCTCAAGAAAATTGTAAATCGCTGAACTAATTACTCTTCTCTCGAGATAATTATGGATTGCTTGAAAGAATTGTACATCGCTAGAATATCGCTAGACGGAATTATTTCCAGCACGACAGAATACTTCTTCGCGCGACAGAACTACTAGATCGCTCGACAGAATTACTACTAGCTCGAGATTATGATACATCACTCGAGAAAAATATAAGTTGCACGAAAGAAATATATATTGCCCGAAAGAATCATGAATCGCTCGAGAGAATCATGAATCGCTCGAGATATTTACTCTTCGCTTGTGAAAATTATGAATCGCTCCACAGAACTACTACTTCGCTCCACAGAATTACCACATCACTGACAAGATTCAGTCACCTAGATACCAAGATCTTTCTTAATCGCCCTGAAAACAAGAAACCCTAGGCTTCGCCTTGCGATTTGCTACCATTGTCATGTTCAAAAACAGCCCTTCGGTGGGGCCTTGGCTCGTCCCGCGGCCCCATGCGAAAACGCCCTAACGGCCCCAACGCCTGATTCGAAGGCTCAAGACAAAGACAAATTCAAAGCAAAAAAACAAGAACGCGCCCGCCCAGACCCCTCCTCCCAATTCAGTGTTTGTCTTAGAAAACGTCACCGGGACTATATCAAAAACACCCGAATCCTGTGAAATACTGCCCCAGGACTCTGGTGTCGGCCCAAGAAATAGGCCCAGGAAATAGGCCCTAGAATTAGGCCCTAGAATTAGGCCCTCCAGCCGCGCGCTGGGCCCTGCGAAAAACGCGGCCCCAATGTCCCAGGCCCTCTGAGAAACACACCCACTCCCGGCAAAACCACCCTCCAGATTCCCCAAAACCTCTGTTCCTTCCCTACAGACTTCGCCATGTCGCTGGATTTCGCCTCCCGCCGAGCGGAGCTCTACCGTGCCAACCGCAGTGCCGCGGAAGGGCCGGCTCACGCCATGGCCACCAAATTGGACTCGTCTTTGAAGAAAAACACCAGCTTCATCAAGAAAATCAAGGCGTTGACCGCCGACACCGCGCCGGCGGTCTTGGCCGATATCTCGCTGTTGACCTTGGAGAAGTACCTCAGCGAAATCACCGCGTCGCTCGCGGAAGGCCTCCTCAAACTATCGAAGAACGACGACATCAACGCCGGCGTGGTTGTGATCTGTGCCCTCTACCAGCGCTTCACCGGGCTGTTTGTGGCACCGCTACTTTCACACTTGGTCAATGGCGCGGCGGAGAAACACGAGCCGGACGCCTCGTTGAAGCAGAAAACCGCGTTGAAGCTTCTCTTCGAGATGCAAGTGCTTGGGATGGCGGCCTCCTTTGACGCGTGTGCCCCGGAACTCTTGGGCGAGCCCGCCGCACGGCTCCACGCCAAATTGGCCTCCAGCTCCATGACCGTCACGCTCTTGAAAGACGCCATGTCGCACAAACTAGAACTCGGGTATGCGTTGCCTGTGGCCACCTCTTTCCTACGCAGATTCTCGGCGCTCCTCTCGGGCGATTCAGAAATAGTCCCGGGCCCGCTCCAGCAGACGCTCCGCCAGCTTTTCACCGCCTACACCACCCGCATACTTGGGTTGCGCCAGGCGCTCCACGTGAAACTCGCAAAGCTAGAGCTCAGCAACAAGAAGGCGTCCATCCGCACGGGCAAAATCTTGGCGGAGCACGAGGACCTCGTGACGGAAACCGCCGCACGGAAGAGTCTATTTGACACGCATGCGGCGCTCCTCTGCGAGTTCTTATCTATGGAACTACCCTCTTTGGAAGAGGCACCAAAACCAGGCCCCGAAACAGAAACCTCTCCGGAGCAGGTCAAGCGCACGTGGTGGCACGGTTCCAAAGAGCGGGACTTCTACCTCGAAGTGCCAGGCTACGGACATGTCTTGGACCACTTCGACCGGAACAAGCTCCCCGAGGCAGAGTACGGTCAGCTCAGCGAGGGCCAGAAGGTGAATCTTTTCCTCGCCCAGCTCGAGGCGCTCCTCGACGCAAAGGACTTGGAGCTCATGACAGCGACCATGCATGCATACATTCCGTACAACAAGGCGACGAAGAACCGCATTGTGCGCTTCTTCACCGAGATCAAGAAAATCGACAACGTCAACCTATACGCCCGCTTCCTCTGTATTAATGCGCAGTACTTCCCGGAAGTGATTTCCGAGCTCATTGAGGCGCTTGACCGCGGCTTCCGCTCGCAGATCCGCTTCGACACCATTAACTTCAGGAACTTGGCGTTTTTCATCGAGCTTGTCAAGTTCAAGTTGATTCCGAGCCACGTGGTGTTCCACAAGATCCGCCGCATGACGCTCAACATTCCGGGCACCAGCAACGTGGACATTCTCCTGGTGTTCTACGAGCGCTGTGGTAAGTTCTTACTATTCGAGCCGGAGTATCTGCAGACCACCAAAGAGATGCTAGAGTTGCTACAGGTCCAGGCGAAAAGCGACAAGTTGACGGTCAATGAGAAGTTTGCTCTTTCGAACATGTTCTTGATTGTGGACTCCTTCACTGCAACCGCGCAAAAGCAAGCGCCGGCCGCCGAAATGACCGTCGTGCAAGATTTCATCCATCAATGTGTCAAGAAATTGGTCACGCCAACAAGCTATCAGACGGCACTAGATCTTCTCAAGGGCATCAATTTCTCAAAGAACATGGAGGCCCAAGAGACACTCATTGAGATCTACACAAGGCCCGAAGAGTTGGGCGGAGACCGCTTGGAGCTGCTGTGCGGTCTTCTTTTACGGATAGGGAAAACCCACCGCCGTGTGCCTCTCATGGTGGTTGAGACTTTATTTGAGAAAATCACCCGCGGTCTTGAGCTAAATGACTACAGACACAACGTGTCCCGAGTGGCACATGTGAGGTTCATGGCAGCGCTCTTCAACGCGAAAGTCCTCAATTTCAAAAGCATTCTTGACTTGTTGTACAAAATCATCTGTTTTGGGTACCCCAACAACCTCCCAACGCCGGGCTCCCGGCTCGAGATTGACCCGCCCGAAAACTACTTCCGGATCCAGTTGGTTTGTGCTTTGCTCAAGTCAATCAACTTCCAAGGCGTCAAATCCATAGGCTTGCTCAATCTGGGCGTCAAGACCGCGGAGGGCTTGTTGGTGTTCCTCCAGTACTACAGCTTCTGCAAAGCCATGCCCCTTCCGAAGGATATCGAGTTCTCCTTGCTGGGTGTTTTGGCGTGTTTCAACGCAGTGTCCAAAACCAAGATGCAGAAGGCCGCTGATCTCACAGCAGCGATGCAGCTGCTCCAGCAGTATACCATCAACAACAAGCAGGAGGCCGCGAAGAAACCCATGCCGCGGAACGCTGCCGAGCCAAACGACGACGATGTCGAGTCTGTGGAGTCGGACTTCTCTGCGCTTGAGCTCTTTGATTCGGGCGAAGAAGACATGAGCTCAGACGACGATGCTGCAGTGAACGAAGCCTCGAGTGACGAGGAGCCTGTGCAAAGCGACGACGGAGAATCTGCCAGCGGCGAGGATGGCGAGGAAACGTCTCTGGGCAGCGAGATGGGTTCCGAGTATGAGGACGCAGACGGGGACGAGGAGCAGCAGGCCTTCCGGTTCCATTCTGCGGCGGACCAACAAGAGGCGCAGCGCATGGACGACGAGATCAAGACCCTCCTCAGCGTGTCCATGCACCAGAACCGGGTGTCCGGGTCGTTGAGAATGCCGGCGCCTTCGAGCTTGGTCCCTGCGCCTGCGGGAGAGGACGCGCAGCCCAAGGCGTTCAAGTTCCTCACAAAGAGCAACAAGCTCCGGGATTTGGCGCTTCCGTCGAACAACAAGTTCACGGAGAGAATTGCGCTGGAGCAGGCGGCGCAGAAGGCCAACCGCAGGAAGATCATGAGTCTTGTGGACAACATGTATGAGAGCTGAGTCTCGGGGGAGCTGTATTAGTGCTGAGTCTTGTGGAGAACTACATTGGAGCCGACTCCTAGAGACAACATGTATGAGAGCTGGGTCTATAGATGGCTAGGTACGTACACGGCGCAGCAACGAGCTGTCCTGCTCAGAGCACCTTGACCATGACAACAGTAATGTCGTCCTCCTTTCCCCCCATGTACCGCTGGCCCGTCAAGCGGGACAACTCCTGCGCAAACGCGCTCGGGTAGTTGGGGTCCTTGGACACGGCGACCACCTCCTGCACGAGCTGCAGCGAGATCTGCGGCAACAGGCGGCGCTGCGCAGACTGGTCCCGCAAGAACACCTCGATGTCCTGCGCAACCACGTTGTCCGTGACGCCGTCCGTGGCAAAGATGACCACGTCGTCCTTCTGGAGGTCCCACACGTACTCGTCGCAGCGGTCCGGCGAGTCGATGATGTAGCGCTTGCCCTGGAGCTCGGCCTGGCGCAACACCTGCTGCGGGATCTTGGCCAACTGGTACGGCGTGTTGAAGTTGTGGGTCTGGACGCGCGTCTCGTGCACGAGCTTGTCGCCGCGGAAGAGCCCGCACCACGAGTCGCCCAAGTTGGCCACCTTGAGCCGCCGGTCCGGCGTGAGCACGCCGAAGCACGCGGTGGTGCCGCCGATCTCCACCTTGGGCGACTGCTGCACGTCCTCAAACGCCCGCACGAGCAAGTCGCGGGGCGAGAGCGCCGCGCGGGCCGCGGCCGCCTCGAACCGCGTCTTGGCCTGGTGGCACAACTCGCGCAGAATGGCGCTGGAGTCGTACCCGGCCTCGGCCCAGCCGCCCACGCCGTCCGCCACACCCACGGCGATGTACCCGTCGGCATCCTGCGCGGAGACAAACAAGTTGTCCTCGCCCAGCGGCAGCAGCGTGGCGGGCGCGGGCGCCGGCAGCCGCCGCGTGAACACGTTGGTGTGCTCGCGGGTCTTGGGCTGGAACAGCACGGCGATCTGGTACGCGAGGAGCCGGTCGAACGACGTCTGGTCGTAGTTGTACGCGGCGGACACGGCGGAGTTGGCCAGCGCCGCGGCCGCGGCGTCCGCGGCGTCGGGCCCGGTCCAGCCCGTCTCGGGCCCGCGGGCGCCCGGTTTCTGTGCGTTTTGTGACGCGGAGCGGCCGCTGAAAAAGAAGCCTCGTTTGGCGCCGAGCACCCCGGGGCCGAGCGCGTGCGTGCCCCAGCGCACGGCGCCGGGGCGTGCGGAGAACATGACAAACATGGCGAGGAGGAGGAGGAGCAGCGAAAGGACGAGGCGGCGGGGGGAACGGGCGGCGGGGTGCGAGTGTTTCGGGGCGCCTGGTGCTGGCTTAGGGTGGTTCATGAAGAAGAAGGGGAGTTGCTGGCGCGCGCGTCTAGCGTGCCGGGCCCTGGGGCCTAGGGCCTGGGGCGTAGGGCGCGGCCTGCGGGGGGCTGCTAGGGCAGGGCCTGCTAGGGCCGCGCCGGGCCTGTTGGGCCGCACTGGACTGCTAGGGCCGCACTGCCATGGACGAGGCTGCGGCTGGGGATTTTGGTGCTGGAGATTTTTGTGCTGGGGACTTTATTACAGGGGATTTTGTTAAGGTAGTTTTATTACGGGGGGGTTTGCGGTGGAATCTGCATGGGTTGTTTTATGTTTGGGAGGGGGTTTGGGGAAGATGCCGGGAGGTGTACTACTCCACTGCTATGCATGATGTGCTGGATGCTATCTGATGGGGCCGCACTGATGGGGCCATGGGGCCTGATGGGGCCGTGATGGGATGGTCGGATTCTTCCTCGTCTCGGCTTGGCGTTTATTTCGAATTGTGCATCTGATCTGGAAGCCGTGCATTTTTTTGCTGTTTTTCTGATTCTCGGCCTTTTTCGGGCATCACTTGGGGCCGATGCTTGGTTGGCTTGTTTTGGCCGGTGGAGGTTGCGCTGATCCAACTGCTCCAGGTCGCACTGTTCTGGATGGGTTCTTGCAATGGGACATGCCCTTGTTTATGCAATAGAATTTTGTTCCTCTATTTCATAATTTTGTTCCTTTACTTATTTCATGATTATGTTCCTTTATTTCGTGATTATGTTTCTCTATTGCATGATTATGTTTCTCTATTTCATGATTCTGTTTCTCTATTTCATGATTATGTTTCTCTATTTCATGATTATGCTCCTCTATTTCATGATTATGCTCCTCTATTTCCTGATTATATTCTTTCATTTCATGATTTTGTTTATCTACGTATTTCCTGATTATGCTCCTATATTTCATGATTATATTCCTTTATTTCATTTCTTAAAGCATGTCTTTGCATACTATCCTATCTCTCCAGATCAAGCTAATTTCATTTGAGTCCATCAATAAATCACTTCCAATTATGTCCGCATGTCTACATTGCAAAAATCAACCCCGCCGCTGGATGATGCATGTTTATTGAAATGGGTAAGTGTGAACATGTCTTGTTCCTTGACGTACTTTTATCTAAACTTGTTAGCTCGTGTAGGTTTAAACCTACTATATTGAGAAGCATTGGTTGAGCCTGACTGAGACTCTGTAAAGCGATGGTCAACCCCATGCGTGTATGAATTGAAGTATTTATTGAGCTTATCCCTCTTTACTTTTCCTGTCTGAAGCAGCTATGGGTATCCACTGACTGGTAAAAACAACGTACTCATAGGTGCACTAGTGGCATTTAATATCTTCCCCATCCTCTTATGATGGGAATATGCTTGTCGGCTTTCTACTTTTCTTACTTAAAAAGCATTTTTCTTGCTTTTGAGTGTGTTTTTATTTTGACTTACACAAGTTTTCCGCGATAAAATAAAGATTTTTTTAGTTTATAGCAGTATATTCGCCTACAGGTCACTTGTTGCGCTGACCCGGAGGTGGGTTGGGAAGAAGCACATAATGAGCACGCCTACGGAAACAGGCCAATTGGCGGTACTGACGCCACAAATATAGAAGCCTCAACCCAGAAACAACCGCACGATCAACATATTTGATGGGGAGAGAAAGTTTCCCTGCGTCTAGTCTCTTGTGTTTGTTGTTATTTTTGGGCCTTGAGGATTTGTCTTTGGTTCAGATTGGGGCATAAGTTGATGCTTCTTCCGATTCGAGGCCAGAAAGCTAATTCTTCCCCAATTTAGATGGAGTGGCTAGTGCTTCTACAATGAAGCATTCTTCATGTAACTAAAAACTTTTATATTCCACGTTCAAGGCCGCTCAAAGCTTATATAAAATAGTGGGGAGAATATCCTGTCTCCGTGATCTGTAGATCTCCCGCTCTTGTTTACATCATTTGCACAATGGCAAGATGTAAAGTAAACGTGATTAAGCCAGTGCCTATGAATACGTACTCGCTTGAATTGCACCCCACGGTACTGAAAGTCTTCGGCAGCTTATAAGTGTTTCCGCCATTTTCTGTTCCAGCTCATCTGGAGATTCATGTGGTGTTTCTGAAGTTCCAAAACAAACACCCAACGCTGACTGGACACTCTGTTAAATTAGAGGACTTGTTTCCGACACTGCCTAGCAAATGACAAGATTCGGCTGTCGAAATCGAAGCTCAGATATGCCGCACAAGTGTCTGGCTGATGGACTCCTACTTTTGGTCTGTTTTGAATCAAAAGCAATAAATCTTGGGACAGCTGAGGCAGAATTTTTATTTTAAAACTCAGTGCCCATTTATTTGAGAAAAATAATATCAAAAACTGTGAGTCGTGCTATACTGATTACATACAATCTTTATTCCTTTGAATATCTTCACACAGAAGACGGCTTCTGGCGTTGCTTAAGGACCATTTCAAGCAAGCATGTCCTCTTATCACAAGTCATTACTCACAAGTATTGCCACACAAAAAAAAATTCGTCAATATCTGAAAGCTTGTAGCAAACTCGGTCTTTTTTCTCCGGATCCCCAATGGAATTTCTTCTGATTTCAATGACTCAACTGCACGTATAGCAGGTTTGACTTCCAGTTTCAACAAATCCAGAAAAACTCTAATTATTTTGAGGGCTTGCAACAATTACACCACTCAGAAGTATACATCTAGGGTTGAAATCCACAAGCTCATTTTCAAATCAGTCATGAAAGCTTAAGATCTTTAAAATAGTGAGAGTCGGGACTTGATTCATCGTCACAAGAACGTAGCAAGCTACGGTAGCACTCTTTGCTTCTCTTCTCCACATCCATCATGCTTTTATTTGAGCATATTTTTAAGAGAATGCTCTATTACACTTAGGTTCAATGAAAATTCTCTCGAAAACGATTCTGTCACTCCTTACCAAACCCTGACCCCTCAAACATAAATTTTGAAATATGAAAAAGTCGGGGATCAAATTTTGAGATCATTCATTATCACTTTTGAAGCGCGAACAAAAGCTTGCGAAAGTGGCCAATGGGAAAAGTTACATTTTTGTCTCTTTGGATAAACCTCCTAAAAAAAACCGAAATCTTGGTGAAAGATGGAATGAGCCTCTGACTTGTTTGCTCATCGACTAGAGAAGGTCTTAAAATAATGGCCCTCAGAAAAAGATTGATATTGACTTGTGAGAACTGTTGCAAACCTGATCGAGCGCACTGTGCTGTGATTTCTGGGTTTATCTTCTTTACGACACCTTTGTCCGATAAAGTTAGTTTTTTTGCTTTAAAAGTAATATTGTCTTGGCTTTGAATATATAAACTGATATCTTTAACATGCTCTTTTCTAGTTCAATGTGCATAATCTTGGTTTCTCCTTTAGATTCCACTATAAGAGCCTTCTTAGTGGGCACCTGGCTTAGTCAATCTCTAGTAGACTATCTGTGTTGAATAACTTCCAGAATTATAGCTTTGGGCTAGAGAAGGCCAAAGTATACGGGTTTAGAGTGGGATACATTTATTTACTCAAAGACTGAGACATCTGCATTCTTTCACATCCGACTCCAGCATTCGCTTTATCAAGGATAATTTCTATCGCTAAGTCTCTAGCAATATTTGCAATTCAAAAGCTCGCACTATGAATTCGAGTGGATTGCAAACCTATTTAATTGTTTATTTGATGAAATCTGATACCTTTTCTATAAAAACTTTCTCTTGAATGATTTCGGACCTACAAGAGACACTTATCCTTTAGAATAACTGGGTTGTTTTTCAAATAACATCTCAGCTAGATTTTTCTTTGGCCACACCCAAACGATGTCCTTGTACCTCGTGTCTGGGTTTTCCACATTTGATAATAAGTATGCAAGTTCCACGAGAATGACAATTCGTGTTTCATCTAATTCCGCTAAAACGCCTCGGAAGTGCTGTCTCACACATAGTAACACATATATAGTGTCTCGCTAAAAGTAATTGGAAAAGCGTTCTTTCAGCAGCCGGTTGATCAAGAAGGAAGGCTGTGGTGTGGGTGCTTTTGGTCTGCGCCAGCGCTTGAGTAGCCGTGCAAACACATTGCTGCTTTTGCTGGTCTCACATGCTCTTTGGGATCTTAACGAATTCCAGCGCATACGCTGGCGTTTTTGATTTGCAGCGTGTGCTGCCCGTGATGCTTCATGCAGCATGATGATACCATCTATGGATGACGGTCTTGTTTTGCGCAGCTGTCGAAAGCTTTCTGCTAGCCACTCAACAATATTTCTTGGGGCTGCTTTAGTGACTTGCGTCTCTACAGCAAGCATCAGCTCAGAAAAGGAGTTTTCGTCTGATTCGGACTCTGATTCGCCGTCTGCTACATCCAGAAATCTGGCCACACGAATTCCCTGCAGCACCTCGAGATCCTCCATTAATCTACCAAAGCGCGTTAATGTCGACAGTGCACGTGTAGGCACAAACACTGTAGCATCTCTGTCAGTCCGGAAGTTCAGCTCCTCGGAATCGGTGTTAAGAATGGGTGCAAACTCGGCACTTGGCAAGGATCCCCCTAGTGCCTGGCCATTCGGCTCCACAATAGGATCCGAATCCGGGCTCTCATCCCTAGGTGGTGGACGCGTGTGCCCAAGTGACAACACGGAGTCCTGAGACAGCAGAAACGAATCGCTGAGGCATGACGAGGGATTGTCTATGGGTGTTGGTACCTCTGATTCAACGCCACCATTTCGCTGGCTGCGCAAGATGAGAAAATCCCGGATTATCGGGTTTCCTAGATATGGGTCTGGAAAAATCAAAAGTTCGGGGGCGGGAGCAAATGCCACCGGCTGATCCATGATAGGTATTTAGTTTACTCGGTGAAATTCTTATGAAGGACAGCGCTGGTGAACGGAAAAGACATCGATCAAGTCAGCCTGGTTGAGTATTGCTTCTTTCCGTTTTTCGGGCTTCCTGGCGGAGTACCTCTGCCCTGCTTAATACCATCTTTTTTGCTGAAAAAAAGAAAAGTGGGCCCGGACCAAAAACTGTATGCTCTGCTAGAGTAAATGCCTTTCGCAACCGCTCGCGGCACAAGGTAGAGGCGCAATAGAGTTACTGTGGTTTACCCTGGATTTATAATATTAACAATTACTTGCGGTTAATGGAATCACAATACAAAGACAACATCTTCTTTTCTATGGTTCGCCTCGGTTGTGAAGTGGTTTTCTTATCGTCATCTTACTGTCGGTGTTCTGTGCAGTACTGGGTAGATAAATGAACATCTCGCTAATTCGGACAAACTCCCCGGCCTGGCTTGTCAAAGACTTACAGTACTAAACCTAACAGGCAGCTCATTGCTTTAAAGAACTTTTGTGGGCACACCCAGTACTGTAGTGGCTTCAGCACTCCATTAATTATAGTGTTGGTCCCAGCCACGATCTTGGGAACACACGTCGCAATCCCTGCGATGGCACTAGTATAATCCCCAAGAAGCTATTTAATAGAGGTTTTCATCTTGGCCCCGTCGAGTCCTACCGGTTAAAGAAACACCCCGCTCCTCGGTTCAGACGTGATGTTCTATGTGCAGATCTGCCACAAGACCAAAGTTACCAAGCTCTTCTTGACACAGCCGTTTTCAATTCAAAAGCTTGCCGATTTCAAGAGCCAACTCAATTGAAACACAAATGTTTGTTGGGTAGAAAACCACTATGCTGACTCCCAGGCTATTCAATGCAGTGGGACGCGATCTCGGTCCGAGACATCGCCGAGGTCCCGGGCGTCAGATGAAGACCTACTTTACACAATCACCAGCTCAGGCATGTATACTGCGTCTAACCCTCTGTACCACCATGTTTTCCAATCCCCGAAATATAGATGTATTTGACAATTCAAGCTAGGTTTCTTCTCCCCGGACCTGCACGCAGGTGGCTCTGGGTGTCCAATCAAACTACGCAGCACTGCGAAACCCTGCGAAAAAAATCGTGCTGAAGCTCTCTCACGTCTCTATTCAACGCAAGTCTGGAACATCTCAGTCTATAACATGTCTACTTTCAACGTTGTCAGATACTCGCTTCTCGGTGCCGGTGTGGTCTACGGATTTGTCCACAGACACAACTTGGAGCTGAGCCACGAAGAGCAGCAAAAGTTGGCACAATGGAAGAAGGAGGAGAAATTGATCAAGCAGGCCAAGGCTGAGTACGCCAAGTTGAACCCTCCTCAGGCCAAGGCTGCCAATGCTTCCACCAGCATCAACTTCGAGGACCCCAACTTGGATTTCGGCCTGGTTTTGGAGTCCTGGGTGCAGAATTTGCAGTAAGCTATGCAGCAACAGTAGCTGATGTTTCTTGCAGATTCGGAGAACTCTACGTGAAGAAGAAAATGGAGATGCCGTCGCATTTCTGGGCATTTAGTGGGGATGCCGGCGTCCGATGGCCAGTGTTTCCCGTGTATGGACATGTCATTGGCTATCTGTGACGTGTCCCATCATATGTATAAATACAATTATATTCGTGCCTTTGTGTGCCGTGGAGAAAGTCAGAAAAAAGAGTTCTTAGTACATCTCGTCGCCAATGTACTTTCCTTACAGTTCGTAGACTGCCCTATGACCGGTTTTCATGTTCCGGGCGATTCTGGTGCATGTAGGGTATTGGTGCTCACACAGGGTCTGCACGGTTCATAAAGGAATGTCTACGCTTGATTTTCAGTGGCCCCTTCCTAATCAATCATGAATTAGTATCGGTTCTCAGAGAGTCCTGGAATATGCGTGTATTTTATTCCTATTAAAGACTGCCGAGTATCAGTTTTATTTGTTCATTTTTGGTGGTGACGACGCAGACGCAAACATCGAACACGACCACAGAGACTATAATGTTTTTAGGGGGCGTGTGGATTTCATTGCGCCTCCCCCGCATACACTACAGCTGGTCCCATTTTGCAGTCCAGATAGGAACTCGGGGCCAATCAATGTTTCAGGTGATTGCTGGAGGCTGTTCTTGCAAAAATAAATGAAGCACCTCGTCACCAGAGTTCATTAACTGGATTGAACAACTGAGTCCCTCTTCTTCCCAGAAAATCTGGCTAATCACAGGGATTCTTGGGTGTCAGACCGATCTTTTAAGACTCTTTCAAAAACAAGAAACAGACTTGATGGCTTTCACCGATTGCTCTGTGAATCAGCAATAGACAAAGAATGAGCACGTCAGGTTGGTTCCAGACCTCCATATAAGGTAGTAGCTTACGTGCTGGAAAAGCTGAGGAAGACGGGCGAGGTGAAATAAGAAAACAACTCGATTCTCTTGCATCCAGATATCGAATTCTTGCAGATCCTAGTGAAGGATCCAATTGCTTAATGTTCTTTATTTCTGCTGCGGCCTACCCTCCAATTCAATATTGATTGTGAACCGTCAGTCGCACCCTTCACCCGAATGCGTGTCACATCACAAAACAGCCCCAACCAACTCCGCTAAATGTCATGGAACCTATGGAGCTAAGATGATTTTTTCCATCAAATGAAGTATATACAGCTCTTCTTCGGTAGCATGTGCCGATTGTGCTAATACTTTGTTCTCGACTGGTGGCTTTCTTGAGTTCGGAGTCCGAAATCAAGTTCCCAATAAGTTGTTTCAAAGCAAAGCCAAACAAGTCTAAAAAGGCGATACCTCCTAAGATTTCAGTGGGGACAGCTTGTCCTCCTGTCGTATCCGCATACAACTAATAATACTTGTTAGTCACCGCGGGACCCATGGTACGGCACGACAAGCGTGTCTTCAATCTCCAGCATTAGTGCTCCACCAAAAGGCTCAGCTGCTATATATGATTTTTCAGAATTTTGCAATAACTCAGACTGGTCATAAACCTCCACATGCTATGCTTTCCTTATCTCATGAAGAGGTTCCAGTAGTGCACTGTGTCGCACGTGACCTGCCTGCGCTTCACGAACGTGCCCTTGCATGTACAGCCTTGAGGTCTCTTGAAGCACCTACAAAACCAGCATGGATGGGAAGAATGATGGCTCACAAGACCAAGCTCCAACTAACCAAAAACTAGATCTTTGGCTGGCTGATTCCCCCTTCCTAGATTCAGCAAACCCAGGAAACTTGGAGGCCGCCACCTCTTATACGTGTCCCATATGTGGGGAAATGATGATTTCACTAGGCCAATTGAATCGACACATCGATGATCTGCACAGCCCCAAATCAGACACCATGTCAGATATAAACGACTCTGATTCTCCGAGGGCATTTTTGAAAGAAAAAAACGCAAGCTCCAGTCATCTGACGCCGCAGAAACGGAGCCTAAAGCTTGAACTTCACGAACATTCCTCGCGATTCAGCCTTAGCGAAAATGGCTCTAATGCTGACTCCCTAGATCCTGTGAAGTTGACACGCTCTCACTGGAAGCACGTGTCACAAAAGGGCCCCCAGACCTGTGCTGCACCGGTTTGCACAAGCATTCTAAATGTGAGGAATGGCATCGTGAACTGCCGCAAGTGTGGCAATCTTTTCTGTAACCAGCACACAAGATTTCGGGCCCGTCTTAATAACGGACAACAAGATCCCCGCTCTAAAATTGTACTTCCTGTTTATGACTCGAAAAAAGGCGTAATGGCTAAAGTATGCCAGGGCTGTTATATGGCCAAACCAGGGGTGAAATTAGGCACGCAAGTTTATTCCGTGAATCTCACGGACGAGTTTATGGCCAAGAGACGCCGCACTATTGACGAGAAACAATTGGCCCGCAGTATGATCCACTCAAGGTTTCTCAAACTAGCTGATTTGCACTCGCAGGGTTATTTGTACCATTTGCAGAACGAGAAAAACTTACTACTGTATTTCGGGGCGCTTTCGAAGACATCGCCATTCTCAAAAGAGCGCATTTTGGAGGCAGAAAAGGAGATTGTGGGTGTGGAGAATTGGCAGCCCGACGAGAATGTCTCTCATTGCAAGCTCTGTTTTGAGAAATTCAATTTTTTGGTCAGGAAACACCACTGTCGGCTTTGCGGTAGCGTGGTGAATGACGGGATCTTTGATGTGGATGGCCATGCAGAACTATGTTCGGTGCAAGTGCCCATGGGTCTACTTCTAGCAAAACTAGACATGTTGAATTACTCACCGGTGGTGAAATCCAATTGGGACACACTTGTGCTCGCAGATCTGCACGCCGCCTCCACTAGCTTTTCTATTCGAGTATGCAAAACATGCAAAAACTCGCTTCTCCATTCACTGCATGTGGAAGCACAGGAGGGAGATCAAGTAGTGGCAGACGTACTTGATGCGTATGACCAGATGTTGAAGATCAAGGCCACTATTATCAATTCCATGGCCCGGTATCACATGCTTGTCCGAGAAAACAAAGAGGCGCAAAACCACCAGACCAACAAGTTACGGGTGCGCTTGCGGAAGGCGGTGAAGGATCTCGAAATTATGGTGAATTCCTTCATGAACCGGTTTTTCGCGGTGGATCCCAAGCTGAAAAAGTTGAAGCCCTTGCACAACGCAAGGCTCGTAACAAATATCTACAAGGCTCTGGCTGCGTACTTACAGGAGGTGATCTTGGAGCTCAAGGACCTAAACGACAGTTTCCAGAGCGCAGAAAATCAGAAGTTGGCCGGCCAACTAGGCGCTTTTGCGAGCACTGACAGTACATCAATATCGAACTCACTGCTCTCGACAACTGTGCTGCCTGTACCTACTCCAAGACTCACGAAAAAGCAAATTAGAGAGTTGCGCGAGCAACTCATGGTGACAACCGAACAACGCTTCATCATCGAGAACTTGATAGAGGACGTGAAGCGACAAAGAAAGTTTGATGAGTTGATTACGTTGGAAGAAAACAAGAAGGAGCTTTCCGCGAAGATTGATGAATTGAACGGAGAGCTCGGCGAGTTTGCCTTTTAATGCCGGACTTCAAAAAACGGAGAGTCGTCACGGCCTTTGTTAATGGACGTATTCACCACATGAGATCAGTCTAACAAATAGCCACTATTCTGGTTTGGGTAGAGCGCACAAGAACCATCTGGCATCCTGTGATTTTAGTGGGCCTGTGGCCGTGTCGAGCGCAGCACCAAAATGCTTCACAAAGCATCTCTTCCCTGTCCATTAAAAGAAGTGATTGCTAGCATGTATTGGATTTGAAATTGACTTGCAAAATTGGGTGCAAGTATATTCAATGGTTGCTAAACGTGGGGTATTGGTGGGGGAGTGCGGGGTGGTGTGGGGGCACCACGCCATACACAACGATAATGCGGACCCAAAAAAATTATCGAATCAAAAGGGGTATTTGCGCCTAAAGAGCAATGATGCAATATTTCACCATGGCTGTTTTCTTGGTAGTTGGCTCTTATTTCTTCTGGTGAAGGTGCCCCCACGGTGCGTGGGGGTCTCTCGCCCGGAGGGCGCGCCCATGCCAGACTTTAGCATCGAAGCTTGCTCAAGGTTACTACATGTCTCCACCTTACATGAATCCTATAAAATAAATGTGGGTTCCCAATGGCTTCGTGAATTTCCCTCCATATCCGTTCCATTGCGTCAGCCAGCACGTCAGCCAGCACACCAGCCAGCAGTGCAAGACCGACTAGCGAGAATTCAGCTAATTCTTCATCGCATCACTCAACCTTTTTTGGTTCTTGTTTCTTTTTAGGTGCTGCTGATTCAGGCGGTTTCAGTATGAAACCGACCAGTAGCATCAGCTCCAAGGGATCCGAAGACGGGTTGTCCGAGCTCCATGTTGCACCATATCATGAAGGGGAAACGAGAACCACGCTCCAACACTTGAAAGATTCGCTTCTCTTGAAAAATTTACTCGAAAAGAACGAAGATCGGCCCACACCTCCGCAGGTGTATAACTGGCGTGTGTACTTCACGGCCTTGATTTCCTCTGCAGCCGCAATCATTATTGGGTATGATGGTGGCTTCATTGGGGGCACAGTTGCTCTTGACTCGTTTCTCCAAGAATTTGGCCTCGACACCATGACCGAACAACATCGTGGCCAGGTCACGTCCAACGTTATTTCTGTTTTCCATGCCGGATGCTTCTTCGGATCGTTGATCTCATATCCGTTCTCGTACTACTTCGGTAGAAAGATACCGCTTATAATCGCTGCCACGACCATTACTATTGGCTCTGGAATCATGCTAGCTGCAAACTCCTCGACCGGTTTGGGCCCCATCTACGCTGGCCGTGTCATTGCGGGATTTGCCGTTGGCTTTTCAACCAACCTTACGCCCGTATACTTGAGCGAGATCAGTCCCCCTGCTATCCGCGGGCGCATCATTGCGCTTTATGAGATCGGGTGGCGTATCGGTGACTTGGTGGGATTCTGGATCAATTTCGGAATCGACTCGCACATCCCCGATTCTAAGAAACAATGGTTCATTCCCTTTGCAGTCCAGCTCATTCCAAGCGCCATGTTCTTGGCAGGCGCCATCATTATGAAGGAGTCTCCGCGGTGGTTGTTGTCGGTGAACAAGCACGATCGCGCGATCCGAAACTTAACTTGGTTCAGAGACTTGCCCGAAAGCGACGAGTACATAATTTACGAGGTGAATCAGGTGAAAGAGTCGATCGAGAGTCAGCGTTCTAAGGCAGGCTTGGGCTTGTTCGACCCCTTCAGGCAGATCTTCAGAAGTGGTGACCACAAGATTCTCTATAGGTTATGCCTCACGTGCACGCTATTCCTCTTCCAGAATTTCTTGGGCATCCAGTCGATCAACTACTACTCGCCTAGAATCTTTGCCAGTTTGGGCGTCGAGGGCACTAATGCCACATTGTTTTCCACCGGTATGTTTGGCGTGGTGAAGACGGTGGTTACCTTGATCTACGTGTTGGTTATTGTGGATACTTTTGGCCGGAGAAGAGCGTTCATGTGCTCCTCGACGGTTTGTGCCTTATGTTTCTGGTACATCGGCGCGTATTTGAAGCTCAATGACCCGACGGAACCGGGCGTTGAGGCTGGCCCTGGGGGTACCGTGGCCATTGTAATGATGTACGTGTGGATCGCGTCTTTCATTGCAGCGTGGTCCGGAGGGCCGTTTGTAGTGGGAAGTGAGATATTCGACCAAAACATCCGGTCGTTTGTACAGGCCATCAACTCTGCCGTGTCCTGGGTGGCGATCTTCGTGATGTCGAGGTTCACCACGCTCATGATTGATGAGATGAAATATGGCATTTACTTTTTCTTTGCGTCGTTGGCCGTGCTTTCGGTTCCGTTTGTATTCTTCTGCATCCCAGAGACAAAGGGCATTGCTTTGGAGGACATGGACAAGTTGTTCGACCGAACGATTCCCGCAAGAAAGGCACACCACTACGTGATGTCTGGCGCCAGAGAAGATTCCCTGCGAGCCATGGTTGAGCACAAGGGTTTGTTCAAAATGGACACTTGTAAGTCCCTGGATATCGAGCAAGTGGAAGACTCCAGCTTGCTTCAGAAACGGATATAGCTCGCTGGTGCTGTCTACATGCACTGCGCTTCGAAATGCAGTTTCATGACTTCCAATGCAAATATGTAATTAACCGAAAGAGCCACACGATCTCATGTTCTTGCAGACCCTCGATTGCGGGCTAGATCAACCCGCTGAGTGTAAGCTTCTCCAAGAAGGGCGAGAGATCGTCTTTGCGGATCTCGATGATGGAGGAGTCGAAACTGTTGATTCTCACCTTGGCGCCCGACGTCGCTGCAACCTTCTGGAACGCTACGCTGAATGTGTTGAGCCTCGTCATAAGAGCCGACTCACCGGCTTTTCCATCCGTCGACGCCTGCTTGGAGAGTTTCACCTTGGTAGAATTGTCCAAGCCCCTTGGATATTTCGGCGCAAGACCAATGATTAGGTAAGTGTCGCTGACCTGGTCCAAACTCGCCACGACGAGCGGTTTCAAAACATTGGACTTTAGGCTGTCGTCTTTTTTCGAGAGGAAGTTCAAGAGCTCGGCCTCGTTGATGTTCTCCAAGAGCCAGTTGCCCAACTTGGACAAGATCAACGGGTTGTTGAAGAGCTGGAGGTCTGGGATGGCACCGTCATTGAGTACGCACAATCTGTAGATGCGGAGGTTCTTGATGAGGCCCCTTTCCAAGACAGACATCCCCGTCCGGAATATGATCTGCTGCATGGACTTGGCGCTCTCGAGCCCGTGCACTAGAAGATCAAACCCCTTGAGTTTGCGCAAACTGCCCACCCCGGGGTTGAGATTTGAAGACACCACGCGGGACGCCTTGCCGTGCGTGGTCATGTTGAGCGCGTCCCATGAGGACCAGAAATTGACCACCCACAACTTCTCCTTCATTTCGATTCGCGAGCTGATCTCGTCGGCCTCGGTCAACGGGTCCTCGCCGCGTTTTTTGTGGGCGTCTCCAAGTGCCCGGTCGTCGGTTTCCAAAAGCGCCGTGAGCGCCTCGACGCATTCCATCGCCGAGAGCTGCCCCATGAAGCCGAACGTCCGCACAAAGCCTTCCCGAACCACACCCTCCAATCCATATTGGGGAAGGTACTTGTTGAAGATCACCGGGAGGTGTTTCTTGATGGTGATGTCCATGTACAACCACTTCTGCTGGGCCACCGAGAGCGAGATGCCCATTTTGGCAAACATCTTGTGGAGCTTCTTTTTCCCGTCGTCGCGCCAGAGATTGAGCTTGGAGTTCACGAGCGACGAGTAGAAGAACGAGTCGTAGAGCGTCCAGTGCCGGAGGAGGAAAAGGTGGTAGTCCTTGTCGATGGCAAGCGTGGTCAGGTCCGCGGACTTCTCCAGGCCCGCGTTCGACGGGCTCAACCGGTGTACCTCCTCCTTGTACAAGGGCTGGATTTTATCGTACACTTCCGGATGTAGCCTGTCCAAGGACGAAAGCCCGATTATGGAGAGCCAGAGGTTCTCGATGTTGGTCTCGCCGATGGTCGCAAGCATGGCGTACATGATGGCGGTGGTGGCGGTGAAGAGCGCCGTGCCCTGGTTGTAGTAGTTCTCCAAAACCTCCTCGTAGGAGCGGATCTCGTTGCGCCGTTGCCTTTTGGTTCTGCGCGCGCTGGGCTCCTGGTGTTTCCGCTTGCGGATTTCACCATTGCCGTCGTCCGAGTCGGCGCCGCTTTGCTGGTCGTCGGCGGGTGAATCCAGGGGCGAAACGACCGTGTGAGGCGGGCCGCAACCGTCCGCCTCAGAGTCCGAGTCGCCCTCGGAGTCCGCGTCCGTCTCGGACTCGTGGTCCGAAACGTCCACAAGTTTCTGGTAGCTGTCGCGCTCGGCGGCTAGGTGCTTTTCGATGAACCCGTCGTCAAAACACACCACCATCTGCAGCCCGAAGATGTTGTCCAAATTCCAGGGCCGGCTGCCGTCCATGACGTAGATTTTGCGGCGGAAAGTGGGCCCGCGCAGCTGGAGCGCCTGGTCCAAGTCGTCGGCGTCGGCGCTGGCACCAAAGCCGCCGTCAGGCGAGACCATGAAGTCGTCCGGGTCGATCTCGAAAAACGCCTCGAGATCGATCATGGCGCCGCAGCCTATCAATATCACGTTGGCCACGTCCGCATCTAGCTTCAGATAGTGGTTTTTTAGGTCTGCGTACCCAACCACGGGGATAAGCTGGTACAGGATGAGCGACTTTTTGAGCACTAGGCTTAGCACCTTGGCCGTACAGATGCTGTCTATGCTAAGGCACGAGACGAACAAAATGAGCTTGCACGTCAGATGCAGCGAGGACGTACGTTTGATTTCGCTGAAGGCGTGGCCATACTGGGCAGGGTTTATATGCATCTGCTGTGGCTACGGCGGGAAATCCGCGTGTGGTTGTGTTTTCGGTTGGTTGAAGCGACGCCTGGAGGATGGACATGGTTTTCGGTGCCGTGAGCTGGCGCTGTGTGCAGGTCACCACGGTCGGCTCTGTGCTGGTGGGGAGGCCCAGGACGCCGGGTGTCTTTGCGGTTGCAGGCTCCAGGTTCAAATTGGGAAGGTTCCGTGAGACCGGTTTCTTTCTTTTTTCTTTTGCTGTTTTTTTTCTTTGGCGTGGTCGATTTTGCAGGAAACATCCTGCCACTTGCCAGACTGATGAGTCCAGTAATCTCTCCAGTTAGGGCCGGGAGGACGCGTGGCGGCGCGCGGCTCTAACCGCGTTGGTCGCACAGCAGGCAGACGCGCTCAGACAAGAACTCCCACGACCCCGGCTCTTTGGTTTCTTGCCCGGCTGTATTTGTGATTTTATAGGGTGCAAAATGGATGCAAAAACAGGAACATGGCCTGTGTTTTATAGTGGCGGCCAGGTGCGGGGTAAACACAGACAGAAGATGAATCAGACGCGGCGCTCGCACCTCCGCAGCCAGGGCCTCGCTAAGCGGACGCGAGAAGTTCGCGACGTTTGCCGCATTGGTACTTATTAGTCGGTACCCGAAAAGTATATTTATTTGGAATATGTAAACAATGTACGTCGGGGCCCAAGGGTTCCTGCGAGTATGGCTTTGTTTTGAATCTTTCGAGCGGCGGCGACAGCGCTGTTTCGGCTGTGTTTCTACAGCCAGGTCCCTGGCTGGGCAGCAGCTCTTTATTCATCTTGTGGATCAGTCATCTGGAAAATTAGGCACACGGTACGACGCCAACTCCAACACCGCACACCCGCCAGGGGCTGACGTTTGCAAGAAGTTCCGCGCCGGACTTCGAAGCGGAGTCGCGTGTGGATACTTGTGACGACGGCTGCTTCGCTTCCTTATATTGAGCATGAGACAACCGTTAAATCTGATCAGTCCAAAGGCTCCTTCTCAACCCGAGAAGGCTTCTTTTAACCCGAGGCTCCTTCTTAACCCGAGAAGGCTCCATTCAACCGAGAAGACTCCTTTTCAACCCGAAAAAGCCCGGTCGTCCGTCGGGCCGCTCACACGTACGAGAAGCTGCCCAGGCTCCGGCGTGCACGCAGGTTGACGTCCCACACCAAGAAGCCGCCGTCCTCGCAACCCACGAGCAACTGGTTGCCGAGCCAGTCCAAGCCCGCGATCTCCATCTCGCCGTTGACGTGGCTCACTGACTGGCGGTACAGCTCCTGTGCCCTTCTCGTGGCCGCAAGAGACGGCGCCGCGGCCTGTGTTGGCGCCGGCGCCACAGTCTCCGCCTCCATCTGCAGCAGGCCGGTGCGGAAGCGAGCGTCTGAGCTCGGAGGAAGCGAGTCCACGGGCCCATCAGGCACACACTCGGGGGCCGAGGACAAGGCCTCGCGCGGCGCGTCCTCCATGATCACGTCGGCGGGCGCGTCGGCATGCTGCGGTGCCGGCACCACGGCCTGCTGCGGCTCGTACGTGTAACCCCGGAAGAGGTTGGGGTTGACGTCCGCGAGGTAGTCGTGGTCGTAGACCAACGGCGCCGGGAAGTGCGCCGCGCCGTCGTTGTAGATGCTGGTTGCGCGGTGGGTGTCCGTGGCAAAGTCGTCGTCTAGCTGCGTGCCCACGTGCCCACACCTGGCATACTGGTCGAGCGCGAACGGGAACACCATCACCTGGTGGCTCTCCGGCAGGAGGTCGCGCACGTCCACGAGGTGCACGCGGCCCAAGTGCTCCAGCACGGCCAAGAGGTCGTGGACGGGCGAGTGGAGGAAGCGGCACGTGCGGAACGCGCCCAGCTGGTGGCCCGCACGCGTGGACCGCACCTCGTGGAGCGGCGACGAGGTGTTGCGCAAGTCGAACATGCAGCACGTGCCGTCCTGGAACGCCGTGGCAAACACAAGCTCGTTGCGGTGGTACGAGATGCCGAAGCCCGAGTCGTGCGGCGTGGAGATGGTGCGCACCACCGGGTCCGGCAGCGCCGGGTCCACGAGGAACACGGCGCCGGAGTCGCCCGTGGCCGTCAACATGCGGCCGTCCGCAGACAGGTGCACGTTGTTGAGCGACGTGTCCGGGTCGCACACGATGCGGCGGTCGCCGCGCACGCCCGCGTCCGACACGTCGATGCGGTAGAGGCCCAGGTCGTTGTTGCACGCGTACGCGGTGTACGCGGCGGCCGAGTTCTGCTGCGCGTAGATCTTGACCGCGTTGTTGATCATGCCGCCGAGCAGGAACGACATCTCCGCGCCCATGGCCGGGCTGTGCACGGAGAAGAGGCCGCGGGCCTGGCGGGCGGCCGCGGGGCCCAGGAAGTCCAGCGTCAAGTTGGCCAAGCCCATCAGGCACGCGCGGGCCAGCGTGGTCAACACGCCGCCGGCCACCACGAGCCCGCCCGCGGCGTGGTGGAAGCACCGGGGCCGGTACGGGAGCGACACGTGGTTGCGCGTGCGGATCGGGCCCAGCACGGAGCGCGTCTTCATGGTCATGACGCGGATGTGCTCGTCCAAGGTGTGGAACACGGCGCCCGTGGACTCGTCCACCTGCACCAAGTCGCGGATCTGCCAGTGGTTGATGGAGAGCCGCACGTTGCCGATGTACTGCGGGTCGGGGCCGAGGAGCCGCAGCCCGTGGTAGTAGTTCTGGAAGCAGCGGTACACGGAGAGCGCCAGGCCACGGCGGTCTGCGGTGCTGAAGCTGGAGTTTTTGCGGGGCTGCGGGGGGTGCGCGAGTCCGATTGTCATGCCGGGCTGGAGATGCGGGGCGGTTCTCTTGCGGGGAGGCTTGCTGGGGAACCGGGGTTTGAAGAACAGAGACGGAGTTCTCCGGTGCCTGCGTTTCTATTCCGGTCTGGAATGTTGCGGCTGGCGTGGGGCTCGGGAGTTTGGGGGCTCGGGAGTTGTAAGACTCGGGAGTTGTAAGACTCGGGAGTTGTAAGACTCGGGAGTTGTAAGACTCGGGAGTTGTAAGACTCGGGAGTTGTAAGACTCGGGAGTTGTAAGACTCGGGAGTTGTAAGACTCGGGAGTTGTAA